TGAACATGGGGAATATATAATGGCTAAATTCAAATCCAAATACCTACAAAAACCTCTCACATTGATAAACATCTACAGAGTTCCACAGTCAAACATTAGCCAATTTAGTCAAAACCTAGGAAGTATGATAACTGATGCACGCATGAACAAAGATCACTTACTACTCTCAGGTGACTTCAATATAAATCTCCTGCAAGACCAGGACCCACACATTACTGAATTCACAAGCACAATGAGTAACTGCATGTTGCTACCAACAGTAACAAAACCTACAAGAGTTACAGAGACTAGTGTTTCCCTACTTGACCACATCTAGACCAACACCATATCCCCTTTAAAATCAGGCATAATTACAGATAATACCACAGACCACTACCCTACTTTCCTCATAACAACTCTTGGTAAATTACCCCAAGACACTACTAAAGTCACCTTCAGACTTCACAATGAGGCAGCCATTAATAACTTCACAACAGCAGTAACAAACATTGACTGGCACACTGAGCTAGAAATCTATACAGATATTGACGAATGTATTAATAATTTTCTAAAAAAAGACCCAATACCTCTATAACAAGCACTGCCCTAAAAAACTAAACAGATGACAGCTAAGAGACTGAACAGTCCCTGGCTAACACCCAGCATTCTCAAATCCATAAATACAAAACACCGATATGAAAAACAGTACAGAATGGGTCACATAACCAGAGACCAAACAAAACGCTACTCGTCAATCCTAACCAGACTGATAAGACGGGCAAAAAAATTGTATTATGAGAACAGATTATCCAACTTATGAGGTGATACAGACTCAATGATTTCATCTCCACTATAGGACAAAACCTTGCCAATAAAATCCCAAGCTCAGATACCTACCAAATGACTACCTCACTGGCAACTACCTGAACACTGTTCCTAGCTCCGACTAACCCATACGAAGTCTCCCTTATTATCAACGCACTAAAAAACAAGGCAGGAGATTTAAATACCTTACCACCCTTTATATACAAAAAAGTGTCACAAGTGCTATCACCAATTATTGCAACACTCTTTAACAAATCCATTGAATCCTCCACCTTCCCTGCAGTTCTCAAAATAGCAAGGATCACCCCGATCCATAAAGGAGGAGACCAAACAGAGTTGAATAACTATAGGCCAATATCCAACTTACACCCTCTCTCAAAAATCTTCGAAAAATTAATTCATAAACAAATCTACTCCTACCTCATCTCCCAAAACATACTCAACCCCTGCCAATTTGGATTCAGGCCTAATAAAAATACTAATGATGCTATTATACACATGCTAGAACATATATACACTGCAATAGAGAAAAAAGAAGTCCCACTGGGGATCTTCATTGACTTACGTAAAGCTTTTGATACAGTTGACCATGACTTGCTCCACATAAAATTGTCACACTATGGTATAAGAGGGCACTCTCTCAACTACCTCAAATCATACCTCAGCAACAGAAGCCAATATGTGTACGCAAATGGGCCAAACTCTTCCGCACAACCAATTACAGTTGGTGTCCCACAGGAAAGTGTCCTTGGCCTTCTTCTCTTTCTCCTATACATAAATGACCTACCAAATGCATCGCAATTACTCAAACCCACACTATTTGCAGATGACACTACATACATCTTCTCTCACCCGAGCCCAGTCACGCTAGCCAATACTGTAAATACCGAATTACAGAAAATATCTACCTGGATGAGGACTAACAAACTTACACTAAACATTGACAAAACCTACTTCATTCAGTTTGGTTACAGAGCTACAGATGTCCCTCTTAACATAATGATAAATGGATCACCTATCACAAAGCTAACAGAGGGAAAATTCTTAGGAATCCACCTTGATAATAGACTCAAATTTCATACACATATACAACAAATTTCTAAGAAAATTTCCAAGACCGTAGGGATACTATCGAAGATACGGTACTATGTTCCACAGTCAGCCCTCCTGGCCCTATATCACTCTCTTATTTACCCCTATCTCACCTATGGAATTTGTGCATGGGGCTCAACAACAATTAACCATCTCAGACCACTAATTACCCAACAAAAGGCTGCAGTCAGAATGATAACAAATTCCCACTACAGGCAGCACACTCCACCAATATTCAAAACACTAAACCTACTCACCATACAAAACATCCATACTTATTACTGCACCTATTACATACATAGAACACTTAACTCTGATATTAACCCTCCCCTCAAACATCTCCTTACCAACCTCAACAGAACACATGACCATAACACAAGGCACAGATCACTCTTTGATGTTCCTCGTGTCCATCCCACGCTATGCAAAAACTCAATGCACATAAAAGGCCCTAAAATCTGGAATTCATTACCTGTAAATATAAAAGAAACACTACCTGTTTATAAATTCAAGTCTCTTCTCAAAGATCACTTACTCACCCAAAACCAAATAAATACTGAATAATTGAACCTTATAAATTGTATATCTTAAATGTTTCTCACAATTATATCACATAAATGTTAAACCTAAGACCCAATCTAACTTTGTTATTTTTTAAATACACTACCTAACAGAATACTCCATTCGACTGAATGTACAGCAATGCATGCAACCATATGACCTGTCTTTGTAATACTCATTTGTGCTTAATTGTTATCTGTTTACAATAATGTTTTATCACTGATTACATCATTGATTAGTTAATCTTAAGTTAATTTTAAGCCTGCCTGTAATGCTATGCATACAAGTGGCTTTGGCATGCTGCTCTTACCTGTATTTTTTTGTACCTCTGTATGTATGCTCAAATTACTAAATAAATAAAAATAAATAAATAAATAAGTCGACTGATTTACTGTCAGTAAACCAATCAAGTTAGTAATTCAGTAAGTCAGTCAAGTCAGTAATTCCGTAAGTCAGTCATGTCAGTAAAGCAGTCAAGTCAGTCAGTCAGTCAAGTCAGTTGGGAAATCAGTCAAGTCAGTCAGTACGTCAGTCAAGTCAGTCAGTAAATCAGTCAAGTCAGTCAGTCATCAGTCAAGTCAGCCAGTCTGTTAGTTATTCATCACACAAACTCATATATATTTACCTCATTGTTTTTAATTGTACAAACTGATGCTTCAATAAGCCTTCAGGCTATCTCTTGTCTAATATCTATTTTTTTCGTTAACTCTTAAGACTTCGACACTTATACCTTATCCTGCCACTTTCAGCAACACTGGTAAGCCTACTGGGTGCCATGATTACTTGGCAGATACAAGATATGGCAATAAAAATATCAAACACAATTCACACACACAGCTAGCTCCTAAGACACAATGGAACTGGACACGTTTGAACGAATGCTGAGATGGGGTGGGGGAAGTGTTGGGGGTGGCAGGGGATGGTGGTAAGTCTTCCCCAGCTGTCACAAATACAACAGAAATAATAGTATTTCTTACCTTAAATTGTGGTTGCTGGTTTATGTCAGTGATTGTGAAGACAGCGGAGATGCATGGTGTGGCCCTACTGGGCTGAGGTGGATGGTTGTTGGCAGAAGTGGATGGTAGAGTTTCTGGTATTAAAGTCAATGGTTGTATTGGAGTGTGCATAAATTCTGTAATGGATCTCTGGGTTCTTTACCCTTCAGTACATTCTATAGCTAACAGTAAGGCATCATCAGCTGGTCTAGACCCCATTTCAAAGCACTGCTTTTTGATTTGTCAGGGGCCTCTTCAGTGAAAAAGTCTGCTAGTTTAGCAGCAACATGGAACTGCTCATGTAACTGCTGCTATGTTAACTGTTTTTCTTCAGGTTCTTCTTCATCTTCTTCTGTTATCTGACTCCCTTGTATCTGAGCATTGAGTTCTGCCAACATTTCTTCTGGACCTCTGTCTTCATCATCATCCTCTAAGAGCTCATTCACATCTTCCTTCACATCTTCAAAGCTATCACCTGGTAATCTCCTTGCCAGCTGAACAATTTCCTGAACCTGACTCTCAGGCAAAGGGAAACCCGTGAAGGAATTAACTACAGAAGGCCATAACTTTCCCCAGCCTGCATTTAATGTTGATTGGGGCACTTCATTCCATGCACTTTTAGCAGGGCTGATGACATCTGCAATGTAAAATTTATTCCAGAAGCTTGTTACTGCCAGGTTGGAGTCCATTGATGCAACTAATTTTTTCATAACTTTTTTGTGTGGTTACACTTGAAGGACTTAATAACTCCCCGACCCAGTGGTTGTATTAAAGATGTTGTATTTGGAGGTAAAAATACAACTTTTACATGTGGGGTCACATCCAGCAAAGCTTGTGGATGAGAATGGGAATTATCAAGAATGAAGAGAGCCTTGAATGCAAGGTTCTTGCTGTGCAGGTAAAACCTGACTTCAGGAATAAAGTGATGCTTAAACCAGTTAATAAATATTTCCTCTGTCATCCATGCTGACTGGGTTGACCTCCAAATTACTGGTAAGGTGTTTTTATCTACACCTTTCAAATCACGAGGATTCTTAGAGCAGATAATAACCATGGGCTTACACTTGAAATCACCTGATGCATTACCGCATAGGAGCAAGGTGAAGTGATCCTTTGCTGCCTTGAAGCCCAGTGCACTTTTCTCTTGCTGACTGATATCAGTTCTTGTTGGCATTTTCTTCCAAAAAACACTTGTCTTGTCAGCATTAAACACTTGATGTGGCTCAAAGCCACCCTCAGAAATAATTTCCTGCAATTCTGCAGGGAAATTACTTGCTGCTATATGATCAGCTGAAGCACTTTCACCAGAAAACTTAATATTATGTAACTTATTATATAACTTAAAGTTGTGGAACCAGCCTGTGCTAAATATACACACTTTTTCAGGCCTTCCTTCCTTATCACACACTGCTTTAAACAACTGTAAGGCCTTTTCCCTAATTAAGAAGAAATTAAGTTCTCCATTGTATATACCTGTTGTGATCTACGTCTCATTTTTTACATGAGATGACATCCTGGGTTATTCATTACACAAGCTCGTATATTCACCTCATTTTGTTAATTGTACGAGCTGATGCTTCATTAAGGCCACAGGCCCTCACTATATCCACCACACGTGAGCCACTCTTAAGCTTGCCTAACATCTCAATTTTCTTCATATCTCCTAGACTTATATGCTTAAACCTTTTCTTGCCACTTTCAGAAACACTTGTATGCCTACTGGGTGCGATGATTGCTTGGCAGATGAAAGATGGAGAAAATGCATTGAAGCTGCACTAATCACTGTCAGTAACACTATAAAGCAAAAATTCGGTAGTTACAGTATTTCAAAATTACTAATCAAGAGGATATTACCCATCCTGGGAACTGCTGTTACATGATGTCAGCAGGTCCCTCTCTAGCCTCACCTCCTTAGTTCCACTACTACTACTACTACCACCACCTCTACCCACGCGTCACTTCATCTGACTCCTGCCACTATATATATGCGTTTTTTTAGTTTTCTCTGTATTAGGACTGAAGAAGCCACTCGTGGCGAAACGTTTCCTTTAATAAATGTCCTGAACTATAAATAAGTATCTTTTTCCACATCTTGTCGGTATCACCATACCATCTCCTCATTGTCAAGACAGTACTAGTGATGGACGTTTTATACAGAGACTACCTTTCTCTCCTCCTGAAGGCATACAGCTTCAAGAACCGTTCTTACTTTCTGCAAGACTGCATCGAAGAAATGGTTGCACCTAGATCCACTCCACACCATCTCACGGATTCTAAACATCCCTTCTCTCCTGCTACTTACCACTACCTACGAGAGTGCAAGGAAGATCTATCAGCTTGCTCCAAAGATTATTTCCATAGTGCTCACCTAGTTCTCACTTCCCTTCCCACTCCTACAGATGCACCGCCGAACACATCCTAAGCAAAGTTACCACCACCAACCTACAGCAGAAACTACGGCTCTCAAGAAAACTTTCCTCTCTCTGTCAACACAGCAAATGGAAAGACATTGGTAGAGCTGACATCATCAATAGCCTTTCTTCTTATGTTCTCAGTGATACAGAATCCGAAGCACTCAGCTTAGGTCTCAAGTTTGCTACTGGCATACTGAAGCCTAAATGCGAGTTAGACACAGTGATCAAAAACCATGACTTCGGTGACTCTGAATTTAACAAAGGTTTCATACAAAGACTTATTGCAGCTGTAGTTTCTGAACCTAGTCGTCCAGTCATTCCACGTCGCTACATCCAGGCACTCAAAAACATGGCCACTAATAATGATATTCTCATCACCACAGCGGACAAAGGAGGAGGAGTGGTCATCCTCAACAGTACAGACTACAAGATTTATTGAATGACGCCAACACATACGTTTCCATCCCCGAACATGCATGGAAGAAAGAAACAGATTCCTTTCTCAGTAAGACCCACAGCATACTCAGGAAATCAGAAGAAGGTGAAAAGCTCTTGCACCTCATCCCTACCAACCCCAAGTCAGCAAGACTTTATGGTTTACCAAAGACCCACAAACCAAATGTGCCTATGAGACCCATTACAACTGGAATCGGCAGCGCCCCACACAGGTTGGCAGGAGTTTTGGCGAAATATTTGTCTAAGCTCCTGGGTACAATCAGTCAGGCTCACCTGAAGCATTTGGGTGACCTCCTTAACCGTATCAGGGATCTCGACATGAGTGATAAGAAACTTGCAAGTTTTGATGTGACTGCCTTATTCACCAATGTCCCAGTTGATCAAGCCATTGATCTTCGCAGGGTGATTAACGATGATACAGAGTTACCTGTACCCCGCCAAGATTTTGTAAGCCTTGTCGAACTTTGTGTTCTTTATAACTGTTGTAGGTTTGAGGACAAAAAGTACAAGCAACTCTTCGGACTAGCCATGGGATCCCCCCTTAGTGCAGTTCTTGCCAATTTATATATGGAGGGCCTGGAATCCAGACGGATCCTCAGTAACATCCCTTGTTCAGTTACATGGATGTGGTACGTTGATGATATTTTGGTCATTGTACCCAAAAATCTAGACGTACGTGGCATCCTCAACACCATCAACACTGTAAAGAAAAAGGACAGAAGTGCAACTAATGTGACATTTTATTGTGGCAATGTTTCGCTCTCCAGGAGCTTTGTCAAGCCTAGGCTTGACAAAGCTCCTGGAGAGCGAAACGTTGCCAATAAAATGTCACATTAGTTGCAATTGTGTCCTTTTACTTTACATATTGTCAGTAATTCTACCAACATTATTACAACCATCAACACTCTGGAACCTACTATTAAATTTACACTAGAGGAGGAGAAGGACAACCAATTACCTTTTCTCGACGTTCTCCTACGCACAGGGGAAAACAGACTTTCTTTTAAAGTCTACCGGAAACCTACCTACAAGAACGATCTTCTACATTTCTTCTCTCACCATGACACAAGAACTAAAAGAGGGGTTGTTACTGGCTTCTTTCTGAGAGCCTACAGAATTTCCAGTCTGCAGTTCCTTGAAGAAGAATGCACATACATCACCAACTCTTTTAGTTCACTACACTTTCTCCTACACTTCATACGTGACTGCAGGAAACGTGCGACATGTATCCTCAACATGATGAACACCAGTCAAGTTGAAGAAAAGCCTCCAAGTTACATCGTTTTACCAGTCAGCAACTTTGCCACTAATGTTTCAAAAATGTTTGACAGAAAACTGGCTAAAATATCTACCAGCTCTTCAACTACTATTAGGAACCTGATACAAAAACCCAAGCATGATTCTGGCACAAATGCAGGAATTTACACTATACCATGTGGGGGGTGTGACAAAGTACAGTGGAACCCCGGTTCCCGATGTTACCGGTATCCAATAAATTCGGTTGCCGATGCATTTGATCGAAAAAATTTTGCCTCGCTTCCCAATACAAAACCCTGTATGCGATACGATTCGTACAAGACGTGTCCACTTGTAGCCCTGAACTCCCCTGTGTGTACCAGTGTTTACAAGCCAGCCAGTGTGCGCGCATCTAAGGATACATTCGGTACATTCCATATTATCCATATTATCACTGTTTTTGGTGCTTGTTTCTGCAAAATAAGTCACCATGGGCCCCAAGAAAGCTCCCTTCGAGACCAAGGGTGCTAATGACTGTTGAAATGAAGAAAGAGATAATTGCAAAGTACGAAAGTGGAGTGTGTGTGTGGAACTGGTCAGGTTGTATAGTAAACCCCAATCAACCATCTCTACTATAGTGAGCAGGAAAACGGCAATCAAGGAAGCTGTTCTTGCAAAAGGTGCAACTGTGATTACGAAACAGCGACCACAAGTGTTAGAAAATGTTGAGAGACTGTTATTGGTGTGGATAAATGAAAAACAGATAGTAGGAGACAGCATCTCTCAAGCGATCATTTGTGAAAAGTGTGATGAAAATTACCCTCACACAGCTATTGCAAGCCATGCTGGTGACTATTACACTGACAATGTTGTGAAACACTTTAGGAAAGTCATAAAGGAATGAGAGGTACAAGCCTCTATGGACAGATATGTTGTGCGACAAAAGTCCAGTGACTCTCAAGCTGGTCCTAGTGGCATTAAAAGAAGAAGGGAAGTAACCCCAGAAAAGAACTTGCTACCTCAAGTCCTAATGGAAGGGGATTCCCCTTCTAAACACTAAGACCATCCACACTCTCCCCTCCTCCCATCCCATCAATCATCACCAGATCTTCAATAAAGGTAAGTGTCACGTAACTGTGCATGTCTTCTTCAGTTTGTGTGTATTAAAATTAATATTTCATGTGGTAAAAAAAAAAATTTTTCATACTTTTGGGTGTCTTGCATGGATTAATTTGATTTCCATTATTTCTTATGGGGAAAATTGATTCGCTTTCCGATAATTTTGGTTTACGATGAGCTCTCAGGAACGGATTAATATCGTGAACTGGGGGTCCACTGTATATGTAGAGGAAACAGCCAGATCTCTGGACATTAGGATCGCAGAACACAAAAATGCTTGCAGAAATGATGACCGCAAAAACGCATGTGTTCAACATAGGGACGATGTTGAACACCTCATGAAATTCAATGAAGCTAAACTAGTGATTAAAGAAGACGACTTAAGATGGAGAAAATGCATTGAAGCTGCACTAATTACTGTCAGTAACACTATAAAGCAAAAATACAGTAGTTACAGTATTTCAAAATTACTAATCAAGAGGATATTACCCATCCTGGGAACTGCTGTTACATGAAGACAGCAGGTCCCTCTCTAGCCTCACCTCCTTAGTTGTTGTTGTTGTTGTTCTTCTTCTTCTTCTTCTTCTTCTTCTTCTACTTACTTACTTACTTACTTACTTACTTACTTACTTACTTTACTTACTTACTTACTTACTATACTACTACTTACTACTACTCTACTACTACTACTTCTACTACTACTACTACTATACTACTCTACTTACTACTACTTACTTCTACTACTACTACTTCTACTACTACTACTTCTACTACTACTACTTCTACTACTACTACTTCTACTACTACTACTTCTACTACTACTTCTACTACTACTACTTCTACTACTTCTACTACTTCTACTACTACTACTACTTCTACTACTACTACTACTTCTACTACTACTACTACTTCTACTACTACTACTACTACTACTACTTCTACTACTACTACTACTTTCTACTACTATTACTACTACTACTACTACTTCTACTACTACTACTACTTCTACTACTACTACTTACTTTATTCTATACTACTACTACTACTACTACTACTACTACTACTACTACTACTACTCACTTCACCTGACTCCTGCCACTATATATATGTGTTTTCTAGTTTTCTCTGTATTAGGACTGAAGAAAGCCACTCGTGGCGAAACATTTCCTTTAATAAATGTCCTGAACTGTGCATAAGTGTCTTTTTCCACAACACTGGAGGTGTTGGTAGAATTGCTGAATCACTGAAGAAGACATCCTCTACCACCATCACTACCACCTTCTACCACTATTACAATGCTACCACCTTAAGAACATAAGAAAGGAGGATCACTGCAGCAGGCCTGTTTTCCCATACTAGGCAGGTCCTTTACAATCCATCCCACTAACAACACATTTGCCCAACCCAATTTTCAATGCTACCCAAGAAACAGG